TGGTTTGTTCCTGCAACCTCAATAAGGATTCTTTAAAATACAGCCAGCTCTCCTGGACTCCTTTCTCCCGCATGTTATTCTCCCAGGGAATCCTGTCCATCAGTTCCCTGAGGGAGTCAAAGTCTGCTTTTCTGAAGTCCAGGGTCCATATTCTGCTGCTCTCCTTTCTTCTTTGTGTCAGGATCGCTGAACTCGACCATCTCATGGTCACTGCCTCCCAGGTTCCCATCCACTTTTGCTTCCCCTACTAATTCTTCCCGGTTTGTGAGCAGCAGGTCTAGAAGAGCTCTGCCCCTAGTTGGTTCCTCCAGTACTTGCACCAGGAAATTGTCCCCTACACTTTCCAAAAACTTCCTGGATTGTCTGTGCACCACTGTATTGCTCTCCCAGGAGATACAGATACATAGCCAAACTTCATAACTTCACATACAACGATAGTACATACAATCAGGGCCGGTGCTACCATTAAGGCAAACTAGGCGGTTGCCTAGGGTGCCAAGATTTGGGAGCACCAAAAAGCGGTGCCCCAAATTTTTTTTTACAGCGTTCCTACGCCCCCTCCCCGAGCACGTGGTTGCCGCTCCACTTCTCCCGCCTCCCAGGCTTGCAGCACCAATCAGCTGTTTGGCGCCACAAGCCTGGGAGGCGAGGAGAATTACAGCGGAGGCGGCGTGCTCGGGGAGGAGGCTGAACAGAGGTGAGCTGGATAGCCAGCTTCCCACCTGAAGTAGTGGGTACCACCAAGTGCCAGATGGATAGCTGACCCCTCATCTCCAGTGCAGCAGGTAGGTGTCAACCAGACCCAATAATCCTTTCACATGGTCCCTGTATTTTACAGTTTAAAGTGCACCCTGGATCTTCCCTGCTATCTGCACAGTGTAATTAGTCTAAAATTTTCATGATATACCCCTTCTCTTTAAGATCAGCTGTAATTTTACAACCTGATTGTATCCTTGTGGGACAGCTTTAGAGCGCCATTACATTTGACATTATTATTCACTGTTGCCCACTGGAAAGATTACTAAGACCCACTGGTACTTATCAACTGAGTCATCTTCAAGGAGTTGGCCACAAGGTTGCTCCTGACGAAGATTTTAACTGGAGTAAGTGTGGACACCACTGATGTGATGCCTTTTTGGCTTTTTTGTTTGTTTGTTTGTTTGTTTGGTTTGTTTTTTAAACTTTCATAGAGATTTAGTTCTAGTTTTGTTCTCAAGAGGGGAAACGGTTCAGGCCAGTTCTTACTATGTCGCAACCTGTTAAATCATTAATAATTATTAAGCATATAACTTTGGATTGCTAATAATATAAACAGACATACTCAATGTTGGCCTCTCAAAATTGATCTATAGATTCCTCATCAAGAATTGCTCCTGTAGGTGCCCATTCTTGGGTAGAACTACAAATCTGGAACTGTCTAGATTGCCAGGGCCACATGTACATCCTTACACAGGCCTGAGTGACTGATATGAAATGGTATGAGTTTGCAGCACCAATGTACTCTCAAATCAGTAGCTGTGTTTGTGTCTGAGACACAGAAGAATCTCACTGCATCTTTGGATGGGCAGGGAGAGATGAAAGTGAGGATATCACTGAGCTAAAGGAGAACCTTAGAAGAACACTCCCACTGTCTCCTACTAAACACAGCCCACACAGGCTACAAAAATATTAGTTAGAAGATATAGTTTCAATGAACAAAGAATTATTTATCTACATAAAAATGAACAAAACCAATTTAAAGACTAAATACCATGAGGCACTATGCTCTGTAATTGGAGGTAATGTCCTTTGAATTTTTTCTCCTATTGTCTAACAAATGATATTTTGTATCTGCTCATTGCTCCATTAGCATTTCCATAGCTTTTGAGAGATGCTGGTGGTTTGTCCTCTCTTTAATTGCTTTTTCTAAGACCTCTTATTATTCCTAGTTCACTCAAATCCATTTCCTAACTAATGCAGTTTATTAGGCATAGCAAGCAGCAGCATATTAAGAGGAATACTTTATTATGTCCGGTTTTCCAAAGCACTCTGGGAAATAATCTGAGAAGCCCTGAACCACTTCAGGATGATGCTGAGACCTTTCTATATTTGTCATAAAAAACAAGAGACCCCCCACACACACACACTCCAGAATAGCTAAGAGCTGGTGGTTGGCACTTCCCCTGGATTTGGCCCCTCACATTCAGTCAGAGCAGGACTTAATTTGGAGTATGGACTTGATTCCAGGTCTCCCACTGTGATGCAGTGTATCTCAAAATAGCACCTAAAACATTCATAATCACCACTGCAATACGATGAGGATATGTTTTGTACAAAGTATACCTTCTGAGGTATCATTTGGAAACTTATAATCTGTTGAGCATCCTTGTTCTGTCAAAATGTGTGTCATCATTATATATGAAGTTATGAGAGTCTGCGATATGTTTGTCACTGAAATATACTGAGAGTCTGGGAAAGGTCCACAGACTAACCCCTCAGAGAGAGCAAAGAAACTGAAAACACAGAGGCCTTACATGCCATGCCTCACATGGACAAAAGGTATGAGCAAGAATTTGCTGTTCATGTGAAGGACAATGGGAAGTTCACATAGGCTATGGGGGCTGCCTAACTCCATGACACAGCATGGATTTTTCTAGCACCTGTAGAAAAGTATAAATGAGGGGCAGTGACATCACTTCTCCTACATCTCTACACAAGGAAGCAAGATCATTGGAGAGACAAAGAAACTCCATTGACACTATAGGAGGGGTTGGTCCTAACTAGGTGTTCCAACTAGCAAGAACTGCTGTGACATTTTGGGTGAGAAAAATCCTTCTGTTTTTAGAATTATTAGCATGGTAAAGTTCATGAATTAGCTTGCAATTTTATATTTTCTTTCCTTTTGTAACCAATTCTGATCATCTATGCCAAACCACTTAATCACTTAAAATCTATCTTTCTATAGTCTGTTTTATATTTAATTTAAACCAGTGTGTTTTCGGCTAAAGTGTTTGGGGAAATCTACTCAGGTTAACTGGAACTGGTGCATGATCAATTTCTTTGTCAAACTGATGGACCTTATGAACTTGTAGTGTTCAGTAAGTAATTGAACAGTACAAGATGGTACATTTCTTACTTCTGGGGGAATTCTGCGCCACTGCAAATGCGCATAATTTATGTGCCCTGCAGATTTCTTTGCTTCCCTGCAGAAAAATGACTTTCTGATGGGGAAACAAAGGGAAGCCACGAGAGTGGTCATGCGACCCTCCCCAGCAGTATGTTTTAGGGGCCCAGGGCAGCCAGCAGAGAGGTAAATCACTGTGGGGCTGGTGGTTCCTACCTTGTGCCGGGCTTAGCTGCTAGTCCCGGCAGGGCTGAGGAGGACAGGACTTCCTTTTCCCCTGCCAGGTCAGACCCACCCCCGGATTTCTCCCCTGGCTGAAGAAAGCTCTGCAACCCACCCACCCACCCACACATGCAACCTGCACCCATCACTCCTTAGCTGCAGGGGGAGGGATCACTATACAGGGAGCTGCTATGGCATCTGCCCACCCCTGTGCATCCAGACCCCCTCATATCCAGACCCTCCCACCAAGCCTCACCCCCCCACACACACCCAGAACCCCCCCAATGAGCCCCACTCCCTCTGAACCTGGACCAACCCAATGAGCCACCTGCACCCAGATCCCCACCTTCACCTGGACCCCCTGCAGAGTCCCATTGCCATTGCATCCATAACCCCCCCAACAAGCCCTTGTGCATCCAGATCCCCCCACACCCAGATCCCCCACTGAGCTGCCCACACCCAGATTGCCCCACACAGAACTCTCTCAACCCACACCTGCCCCCCCCCACACTTGGATCCTGCCTTGCTAAGCCTGCCTACCCACACCTGGTGCACCTGGCATGGAGGGGCAGGGCTCTGGGGTGTTTCCAGGGCAGGCCCAGGCCTTGCGTTGTGTCAGGGTTGGGTGCAGCCTCATTGCTGAGTCCAAGTCCCGGAGTGGGAAAGGGAATTGCACAGTGATCTCCCACCTCTGTGCAGCCAGTGTCCTGTGCTCCCCAATGCCATGCTGGAACCTCCACATTTATCTGGCAAATAACATTTGCAGAATTTTTAATGTTTTGGTGCAGAATCCCCTCAGAAGTAATTTCTCGGGTACAAGGCTGGGACCAGGGATGTGGAGGTCGCCCTATATGTAATTCAAGAGTGGCTGGGCATAGCAATCTGGTATATGTCTGGGGGTAACTTGCATGCTAGAGGCTGGGGTGAGTGGCAGCTCACACAGCAAAGCAGAGCCTAGTGCACACGAGAATGGAGAATTAAGGTGGCATAATGATCCAACAGTCCAGATTGCACACTGGGGCATGTCACATCCAAATCCCAGGTGAGTGCCCTAACCACCAGGCTGTTCACTATTCTTGGGTAAATTTCACTCACTCTCTCCTGTTGCAATTGTTCCACTTTGTATGTATAAATATTCACTGGGCTAGAGACAGAGAAATTGACTTCACAGCCTGATTTTTATGACACTTCACCTTGACCAGTCTCTAAGGTCTACACTACCTGCCAGATCGGTGGGTAGTGATCGATCTATCAGGGATTGATTTATCATGTCTAGTGTAGACGCGATAAATCGATCCCCAATCGCTCTGCCGTCGACTCCGGAACTCCACCACGGTGAGAGGCAGAAACGGAGTCGACGGGGGAGCGGCGGCCGTCGATCCCATGCTGCGAGGACGTGAAGTAAGTGATTCTAAGTCGATCTAAGATGCGTCGACTTCAGCTACGATATTCTCATAGCTGAAGTTGTGTATCTTAGATCGATTCCCCTCGCCCCCCCCCCCAGGGTAGACCAGGCCTCATGCTGAGCATATCACCAGTAACCCCTTGACTAAAACTAATTTCTTAGCTACAGAGCAGCTCCCAACAGGTTATCCCCCAACACAAATCAACTAACCAGTACATGGTGCCAGAAACATTGAAACAACACTTAGAATAACTGTTGTTTTCATCTTACCTTAACTTGTAACTGGTTCTTTCTGCGTCTTCTAGGTTGTTTTTCTGAAAAAACATAGAACATTCAGAACCCATATACATTCAGCTAGACTCCACCTTGCCTGAGGTTGCTTGTGGTGGTCTTGTCCATTTTTAGGAGAAAATGTAATTATTTAATAAATATTCCATAATCATTTGAGTGCTTGTAATTTTCTTGTAATAGCTAAGATTGCACCCTAAAATGTTCTTAGCTCACATTCCTTCTGAGGGAACAGAAAACTTATTAACAGCATTTTAATAGAAACTGTTATGAAAGCAATCACATTTTAAATATTAAAATATATTTTAACAACTCTACCAAATTATTATTAATGGCATTCTTCCTACATATGGAATAGTAATACATTAACTCAGCAATAATAGAAGTACAAGAAAATTGCTCAGAAAATTAGAGTGCATTTGTATGGAATCTATATTGAAGTAATAATATAGAATGGATCCCTGTTTATTAGAAAAATCAGAGTTTTTTTTCTAGTACTCTACATTTTAGTATTAAGTAAATTAGAGATGGCTCAGACCAAAACTCTGGATCTGAACTTCCCTCAATATTGAAAGTTTAGTCCAGATCCACACTTTGTGACAGGATTTTAGCCCTTTAGTGGACTGAACCAAAACCCTGTATCCAATCGCCCTCAGCTATAGGGAAAGCTTGAATCTGGATTCAAACTTGGTAAATCAGTCCCATCTGTAACATACATTTATCTCTTCTGTTCTGTGTGTCATAGAATCTGTAAACGCCTGCATGAATTAGGCTTGTGTTCTCAATGGTAATAGATGTGATTGTCCTATAATTAGTAACCTTAGTAAGAAACTGGAGGTATTGCTTTGAATGTATGTAAAAATTCTTAGGGGAATGAGGGAAGCATCTGTGAGAAGGGCCAATGAACAACTGTAGATAAGCAAGACAATGCAATGGCAGTCTCTAAACTAGCTGGAATGTTCTGCCATTTAAGATAGCTAGGCTAGGTTTTTGTTTTGCAGATATCAATAGTAGAGTTTTGGTTTCATATAACCAAAGGCAGATGTAGTTTGGACTTAGATTTTGTGTCACCTGAACCACCAACTTTTAGGGGCAAGGCAGGATGCTGGATAAAAGGTTCTGGTTTGGCCATATCTCTATTGCTGGAACTGTGTCCTGTGAATCTTGGTGGTGGTCCAGGGGTCCCATCCCTGGTGAGGTGAACAACAACTAGGAGGTTAGAAAATCAAAATAATTTACCATTTTATAACATGGACATAGAAAAAATTATTGGAAAGAAATTGTCTGTATGATCACAAAATCTGTAACATAACTGTCTCATTCTTAGTGAAGCAGACACAAGACAGGAAGAACTTAATCATATATGCATAGAAGCAAGTGATCACAATATAATTGATCCTAATCTCGGTCAATCAATTTTACACAATTTAATTTTTGATTTGGAAAATCTCTACTTTAGGTTTCAATTCAGCAAAGCATTTAAGCACATGTTGATCTTTAAGAACATAAGCATGTTTCTTAAAATTATATACATTTAAGTGCTTTGCTAAATTGGGCTGGCACGTACTTACATGCTTTGCTGAATCAAGACCTTGATTTGTATGCACCAGGCAATGCATGCAGGGCCGGCTCCAGGCACCAGGTTAACAAGCAGGTGCTTGGGGCGGCCAAGGGACAGGGGCGGCACCTGTGGCAATTTGGGGGCGGCAGGTCCCTCACTCCCTCTAGGAGCAAAGGACCTGCCGCTGAACTGCCACCGCCGATCACGGCTTTTTTTTTTTCCAATTGCCGCCGCCGATCGCGGCTGCTTGGGGCGGCAGAAATACTGGAGCTGGCCCTGAATGCATGCTAAGAAAAAATTCACACATTGCACAAGCCTATCCAATTTTGATTAATTTATATTGTTATATTAATAATGCCCAGATGAAGAGAAAGATAAGGAGTCCAGTAGTCAATACAGTATTTAGTTCAATGCTTTAGAGCACTGATTATGTTCAGCTTTAAACGAAAGTTTACAGCACTACATATTTTCTCTCCTTCCTCCCTTTCTTTCTTAAAACCACAGCCAGGGTCCATCCATAAGAAAACTACAGTAAAGATTCCTCTGACCGTAAACAGGGAGTGGTGATTTGTCTTATTTAAATTTCAGCCTCAAACCTTACTCATAGACTCATAGACTTTAAGGTCAGAAGGGACCATTATGATCATCTAGTCTGACCTCCTGCACAACACAGGCCACAGAATCTCACCCATCCACTCCTGTAACAAACCCCTAACCTATGTCTGAGTTATTTAAGTCCTCAAATCGTGGTTTAAAGACCTCAAGGTGCAGAGAATCCTCCAACAAGAGACCCGTGCCCCACGCTCCAGAGGAATACGAAAAACCTCCAGGGCCTCTGCCAATCTGCCCTGGAGGAAAATTCCTTCCCGACTCCAAATATGGTGATCAGTTAAACCCTGAGCATGTGGGCAAGACTCACCAACCAGCACCCAGGAAAGAATTATCTGTAGTAACTCAGATCCCACCCCATCTAACATCCCATCACAGACCATTGGGCATATTTACCTGCTAATAATCAAAGATCAATTAATTGCCAAAATTAGGCTATCCCATCATACCATCCCCTCCATAAACTTATCAAGCTTAGTCTTGAAGCCAGATATGTCTTTTGCCCCCACTACTCCCCTTCGAAGGCTGTTCTAGAACTTCACTCCTCTAAAGGTTAGAAACCTTTGTCTAATTTCAAGTCTAAACTTCCTAGTGTCCAGTTTATATCCATTTGTTCTTGTGTCCACATTGGTACCAAGCTTAAATAATTCCTCTCCCTCCCTGATATTTATTCCTCTGAATCTTTATAAAGAGCAATCATATCTTCCCTCAGCCTTCTTTTGGTTAAGCTAAACAAGCCAAGCTCTTTGCGTCTCCTTTCATAAGACAGGTTTTCCATTCCTCGGATCATCCTAGTAGCCCTTCTCTGTACCTGTTCCAGTTTGAATTCATCCTTCTTAAATATGGGAGATCAGAACTGCACACAATATTCCAGATGAGGTCTCACCAGTGCCTTGTATAACGGTACTAACACCTCCTTATCTTTACCGGAAATACCTCGCCTGATGAATCCCAAGACCACATTAGCTTTTTTAATGGCCATATCACATTGGCGGATCATAGTCATCCTGTGATCAACCAATACTCCAAGGTCCTTCTCCTCCTCTGTTACTTCCAACTGATGTGTCCCCAATTTATAACCAAAATTCTTGTTATTAATCCCTAAATGCATGACCTTGCACTTTTCACTATTAAATTTCATCCTATTACTATTACTCCAGTTTACAAGGTCATCCAGATCTTCCTGTATGATATCCCGGTCCTTCTCTGTATTAGCAATACCTTCCAGCTTCGCATCATCCGCAAAATTTATTAGCACATTCCCACTTTTTGTGCCAAGGTCAGAAATAAAAAGATTAAATAAGATTGGTCCCAAAACTGATCCCTGAGGAACTCCACTAGTAACCTCCTTCCAGCCTGACAGTTCACCTTTCAGTATGACCCATTGTAGTCTCCCCTTTAACCAGTTCCTTATCCACCTTTCAATTTTCATATTGATCCCCATCTTTTCCAATTTAGCTAATAATTCCCCACGTGGAACCGTATCAAATGCCTTACTGAAATCGAGGTAAATTAGATCCACTGCATTTCCTTTGTCTAAAAAATCTGTTACCTTCTCAAAGTAGGAGATCAGGTTGGTTTGGCACAATCTACCTTTTGTAAAACCATGTTGTATTTTGTCCCAATTACCATTTACCTCAATTTCCTTAATTACTTTCTTATTCAAAAATTTTTCCAAGACCTTGCATACTACAGATGTCAAACTAACAGGCCTATAGTTACTCGGATCACTTTTTTCCCTTTCTTAAAAATAGGAACTATGTTAGCAATTCTCCAGTTGTATGGCACAACCTCTGAGTTTACTGATTCATTAAAAATTCTTGCTAATGGGCTTGCAATTTCATGTGCCAGTTCCTTTAATATTCTTGGATGAAGATTATCTGGGCCCCCCAATTTAGTCCCATTAAGCTGTTCGAGTTTGGCTTCTACCTCAGATGCGGTAATATGTACCTCCATATCCTCATTCCCATTTGTCATCCTACCATTATCCCTAAGCTCCTCATTAGCCTCATTAAAGACTGAGGCAAAGTATTTGTTTAAATATTGGGCCATGCCTAGATTATCCTTAACCTCCACTCCATCCTCAGTGTTTAGTGGTCCCACTTCTTTTTTTGTTTTCTTATTTATATGGCTATAGAACCTTTTACTATTGGTTTTGATTCCCTTTGCAAGGTCCAACTCTACACGGCTTTTGGCCTTTCTCACTTTATCCCTACATGTTCTGACCTCAATAAGGTAGCTTTCCTTGCTAATCCCTCCCATCTTCCACTCCTTGTAGGCTTTCTGCTTTTTCTTAATCACCTCTCTGAGATGCTTGCTCATCCAGCTTGGTCTACAACTCCTGCCTATGAATTTTTTCCCCTTTCTTGGGATGCAAGCTTCTGATAGTTTCTGCAACTTTGACTTGAAGTAATTCCAGGCTTCCTCTGCCTTTAGATCCACAAGTTCTTCAGTCCAATCCACTTCCCTAATTTCCTTAATTCTTTAAAGTTAGCCCTTTTGAAATCAAAAACCCTAGTACCAGATCTATTTTTGTTTATCCTTCCATCTAGTTTGAACTGAATTAGTTCATGATCACTTGAACCAAGGTTGTCCCCTACAACCATTTCTTCTATGAGGTCCTCACTACTCACCAAAACCAAATCTAAAATGGCATCCCCTCTTGTTGGTTCTTCAACTACTTGATGAAGGAATCCATCAGCTATTGCATCCAGGAAAATCTGAGCCCTATTATTATTATTACTAGCACTTGTCCTCCAGTCTATATTTGGGAAGTTAAAATCTCCCATGATCACACAATTCCCATTAGTGTTTAATTCATTAAAAACATTAAAGAGCTTTCTATCCATATCCAAA